CCTTAAAAGTATTGGCTTGACCCCAAAGAAAGAGCTCCCTTTGGCAGACTACAGCAAGAGAAAACGCACTGCCACATGTTTGTTTTATGAGACCCGAATAAATCCGAGTCTCTGTCCATTAGGCAACTGGGTAAACTGTATGTTTACCCAAAAATGAACCATTTAAGTTCATTAACTTGCGGTTCGCCAGGAATTTGATGTCGCAGCGTGCTGGTCCCAGCTGTGGTGCTGCCTAGATGCATTAAGTATTAATGACTTTAAAAGCGGAAAGTAATTTGTTGGCTCGGAATGAGGAATTACAACAATTTGAGTATAAGCCGCTCTCAACTGACAAATCGCCCTGCCCCTGATGTGGGAGTGGGACAGGGACTGGGACTGGTACTGGGCGGCATGTGCCCGGTCCGGATGTCTGGGTGTCTACTAATCCAGCATCTCCAATGTGCTCGCTGGCAGACTGTTTGATTTTTCATTTGTGCATTTGTCAAGTGCGAGAACAAGAAATTGCAAGTGGCAGCCGACAGGCAGCTGATGGGCAAGCAGCCGGCCATTGAAGGAGCAGGGACAGGGATACAGCGAGGGTACTCTCGGAAAAGGTTTCATCAATTTTGTACAATCCACTTAACTTGAAAGACCGCAGGGCAGGCAGTCAGTCAGGGCAACAAGGAAAGAGTTCTGAGACCCCCTCACTTCATTTGAATTTCTTTTGTGGTAAAAGATGGCAAGGCCGGGTATGGGTAGCACTGGCAGCTAATTGTGGTCGATAGATACGAAAAGGATTGAAAATAAATGAAAATGCGATCAAGAAAGCCAGCAAAATCTTTAATTCTTTAAGGGCCGAGTGCCTGCAAACCATTTTGAAATTTGCCATATGGGCTTTTGGAATTGGAACGGATAACACTGCCACACTGGCTTTACGTATATGAATATTTCACACCTATCGATCACCCTCGTATCGATAACTCTGTCTCCACATTTTGTCGATGTCTATATGACAAGCCAAATAAAACTCCATATTGAAATTCGGTCAAATTCAGAACACTGCAGCAACATTAATTAATTCTTCTCAAGCAATTATGTCCGAAAACAACACAGAGTACACCTCAGAGGAGGCCGCACGCGCACCGATGGAACTCGACCCCATGCTGAATCCCAGTGACACCAATTCAGCATCCGTGGCAGTCTCGCCGTCGCCGTCTTCTAGTTCCGTGGCTGTCAGCGGCGGATCGAGCTCGATGACCAGCTCTGTGTTGCTGAACTTCAATGAACGGGCCGTCAGCACCGGGGCAGAAAGGGGCTGGACCAGTTCGGAGCCATCGGTGTCGGAAGATGTGAGTGTGCGGCCATCCCGGCCACGCCTACTGGCCCCTTTGAGCCGCTCGACCTCTCTGTCAAACTTGCAGACACGCTCGTCTTCGTCGCTATCGCGCCATGCTCGCTTCCCCTTGGCCATGAGACGGAACATGTCCGACCTGAGGAGAAACTATACTTGGAACCATTCTGAACGACGTCGGCTCATTATACGGAGACATATCCAGGCGACTCGGGAGCATCGGGAGCATCGGGAGAACCGGTTGGCTTGGGATAATCAGGTTTTTATGGGTTTTCCGGACATTCGAGCCAGTAGCACCGCCTCTTCAGAGGACGATGAGAACGAGTGGAGCCGCATTCCTGAAACGGTGCTGGCTCGTGTCCCGACACGCGGCAACAGCGTGAGCGACTGCAGCCAGTGCAGCAGCGATCCGAATGATGAAGATGAAAGCCATCAGGACCTTGACGAATGGCTCGCCTGAGGCGGTTTGAGGAGAAGACGTACCCTAACACCCAACGTAGTCCTAACACGCCAAACTTGGATCGTATGACTGAAATTATGTTGCTTTAAGCTTTGATGGTGCGAATATGTTTAAGGAATTTGCAAAAAAATAGAGTTTTTTGTTGGGCAAATGTTTTGCTTTTGTACGATTTATGCTTATGCTTATGTATATGTTTAAGAACAGAAGGATGTGCACTATTATGGTCACATAACCTTATTGGATGACAACCTGTCCCCTTATTCTGTGACACGTAACCTCACTTAAACGATTTTCGTGGCCCAGGTGGTTGGCGGGACCTTTATGGACCCAAGTGGATGGCTGCCTTGAAAGTTCTGTGCTCTGTTCGATCCTGCCGCTGCTCGGCACTGGCACTTGCCACTTGTTGGAAGTTGAAAGACTTAAAGTTCCCTTATCCAGTGGCGCCTTCTTCTCCTTTGTTTCCCACACTCTTAGCAGCACTTTATATGTGTGGAAGTGTTTATACAGTGCAGAGCCCGACGGTAGGGAGGAGGAGGAGTCTGTGGAGGGAAAAAATAATGAATTTGCGGCATGCCACACAACACTTGGTGCCGCCCGCAACATGCGCCAGATTTGAGCTCCGACTATCAGCAGTAGATGCACATGCATCAACCCAAGCTGGAGTCCAATCCCAGTCCCAGTCCCAATCCCAATTCCCCTCCCACCTTTTCTACGCCACCCACCATATACCCTACAGTGTGGCATGTGTGGCAGCTAATATGTTGGCTGGCAGTGTCGCCTCTTGGAGCCGTTGAAAAATGCACTGACATGTGCCACAGCTGCTGCTGCTCACCCTTACCCCGCTCATGTCCATGTCCCTGCCTCCTTTCATACGTAGCAAATGTGCGTGGGCGTGGGCGTGGGCATGGGTGTGGGTGTGGGCATGGGTATGGGCGGCTGCTGCTGCGTTTGCTCTCCTGAAGGGGGCGTGTTGATGCGCTGAACAATAGCCATAAAAAGGATTAACTTGCATAACAAAAGAGATGCAGTGCGGAGGAGGGGGCGTGGGCAAGACAGAGCTTAGAATATGTATAAATTTCCACCAGACTCGGTATTGGTCGAGTTCCAAATTTATAGCTCACACTCGCCAGCTGCCTCGCGCACATGTCCTCCACACAATGGCACCTCCCATATGCCCAGTGTGGCATATGGATAGAGATTTGCTCTGCGTTGTTTATCTCTGAGGTTGGTAGGCGGGTCTCTGAGGAAGCAGCTATTTAAAATTGAAGATTTTTATGGCAGTTTGCGGGACATTGCGGGCTATCTGTCTGTATGATTAACCGCCGCATTCCCATATGCCGGGATGGATCTGAATTTAAGGATTCCCCGCCGAAGTTTGCGATAATGTGGAGATCATTGACAGAAGTGCTTTTCGCTGGCAAGGGAACTTAACCACCTTTAAATGGAATTGAACTGCTTTGGCCTCTGGCATCCGTAGCCGCCGCCCAGTCCCTGCTGCCACTCTTCTGGCTCCAGGAGGAAGAGCCGGAGAGCATTTCAGTCAACTGCAACTGCTGCAATTTTTCATTTTAATAAAAATGCAAATGTCTCTGGCTGAAGAAAGTCAAGGAAGCATCACGCTGTCTCCCTGCTCTCCACTCTCCACTCTCCATGTTCCACTCTCCACTCTCGCTCTCTCGCTCTCGCTATATTAAATGCAGCGAAGCTTTTCGATTTTACGGTGAAACGAAAACACAAGCAGAAGCACGAAAAAAAAGACACAAACACAAACAAAAACGAGAGGGAGCGTTGTGAGCTGCTGCGACGACCGCAACTCTACATTTATACCCGATGCATACACACATAGTCAGTACGGCTACATTGAGCGACGAAGAGTGCGTGCGAGAGAGACAGAAAATGTGTCTGAACATGTCGTCGGGCGCTGCGTAGCCACTGCAAATTGATTTGTTCCTTGTGGCTGTAAAAATGATGCGATCTGATCTGGATTCGGCAATCTGGTAGATATAGTCATTCTCCATGATTATGGGTTTTTAATTTTCTCGTATCTTCAAAGTTTAAAAGTTGTAACAGTGACATACATATGTACATATGTATAACAGAAGTCTGGACGGACAGACACGGCTCAAAGGGCACAACATGGCTGATGAGGAATATATATACTTTATAGGTTCGGAGACGCTTCCTTCTGGACGTTACACACATCACCACCAATCTAATATACCCCTATACTCATTTTGAGTATCGGGTATAACTGCAGGCAGCAATGCGAGGCGAACGGGAAAAAAGAGCAAGAGACACAAATAAGTTTTCAATAAGGTCCTTAAGAATGTTAAAAGGAATGAAAGTTCTGAGGGCGGGGGGGTGGTTGGCAAGTGAGCATTGGCCCTCTCCTCTTCTAACACCGCCTCCCGCCTCTGGGTGCATCACTCAGCTGGAGGTTAAGTAAAACAAAGTGTCAGTTTACAGCTGTCAGGCCCCGAGGGACATAAGCTGTCTTCGTCTCTCTGCCTCTGCCTCAGTCCCAGCCTCTCTTTCTCTGTCTCTCTTCCACAACTTATCGCCGATTCACGCTCAAAGCTGGTGCCGCCCGCCAGATGCCAGATGCCGCTTCCCCTAGCATAGGGTCGTCCAGCCGCTTGACTTTAACTTTGGCTTTGGCTTTTGCTTAATTAATCTAATTGAAATATGCGTAATGCGAACAACAGATGAGACGAGTGTCCCACATATGTGTGTACTCGCACATGTATGGCCGGCCGGCTTACGGAACCAACAATGGATGGAGACAATGGCTGCTTGGGTATAAAATAGATCGCAGATTTACACTGAATTCGGGCAAACAAAAGGGTTCATTGTTTTCCGTGCAGAAGGTGGCAGATGGTAGATGGCAGATGGCAGGTGGCAGGTGGCAGGTGGGCAGATGATACGAGAGTCCTTCAATTAGAAAGCATATTCAGGGAAAGCACCCAGTGGGACTCAACTTAGTTGGGATTCTTTGGTTCTACCTACTCGTATGTTTGAAAATGGTGACAAAAATACTACAACTGTTCAGTTGATTCCACCACCAACCTTATACACAGGTCCATTTGCATCCGTGGCATCTCTAACCAATTATCAAACTTGGTTAGTCTCAAGCCTACATATGTATATGTGCAATTGAGTCTACCCCAAAAGTCGTTGAGACCCCCAATAGTAGGCTCAAGGAATGGTGGCTAATATTTAATTTAGAGCATTAAGCATTAAGTGTTCAGTTCTTATCCATCTTGGTAGTCTCGGTCACGGCCCGCGAGGTGCCAGCAGCCTCGGGGATGGCCGTCTTAACGCCTTCCGGCTTGCCGACAAACTTCACGACGTTGCTCTCGACCTTCTCCGCGTTGCTGCCCACAAACTGGGTCAGGGTCACCTTGTTTTTGATGATCAGGAAGGTGGGCATGCTGGTGATCTCGTACTCGACGGCCAGCTCCTCGTGGTCGTCTACGTCGATCTTGAGGATGATCATGCGGCCAGCATACTCGTTGGCCATCTGCTCGAGCCGGGGCCCGATCAGGGCACAGGGGCCGCACCAGGTGGCAAAGAACTCCACCAGGACGTGCTTGTTGCCCGCCTCGCCGATAATGTTTTCGAAATTGGTCTTCGACTCCACCACGATTACCTTCTTGTTAGCGTTAGCCATGGATCTGATATTCTGAATTGAATTTAGGCCTAAAATGGAATGATTTTTGTCCAAAAGTTTACAATTTTCTGTGAGATCTTTTGTGTATGTTTCTGTGACAATGAGTTCCCAGCTGGGTGAGCTCGGGATTTATCTGTGCAATGCTTATTTCTTTTTGTTGTTTCTGGAGCCTGGGCTTGGGTTTGGGCTTGGGAGGTTTTCCATCTCTTGATGCACTTTTTTGCACGGGCCAGCACTTTACACTCTGCTCTTTTGCGGGTTAGATTTATTTTCTTTCCACCAGGCTTTGGTTGAACTTTTCTGCTGAACAGCTTCGTAATGGTACTTGTATTTTGTATACTCTACATCTATCAAAGGATAGAGAAAAGGTTACCAAATTGGTGGGAAAACCTCAATAGAGTATCCATGAATTAAAGCTTCACATCATGATCATTGGTTTCAAATTCAGACAATTCTGCACTTAAGTATATATTTCATGATGATGAATTCCCCCACTAAAGAGCTGAATTTTGTTTAGAAGGTATTAGTAGGGGTTCTAGGTGAGGGCATCTATGATGCGGCTGGCAAGGGCTATTACTACCATTGTTCTTGGTGTTGGCCGCTTGTTTGCTCTGTCATGCATTTGTCACAAATTAAGACAAATGCACCGCAACATCTTGAGTGTGTATAAGGCTCCCAGCCCCTAAAAGACTCCTTGTGGCATGTTGTGGCATGTGTTTGCTCGCCACAATGCGGGTGTCTGCTATCTGGTGAGTGTGTTTGCTTAAAGCCTTTCTTTTGCTTTGCTCGATTTTTTGTGTATTCTTGTGTGGTATTCTGTTCTGTTCTGCTCTCGCTGCTGGCGTCGTTCTAAGCCCGTTTCAAGTGTATCTTTTGGCTGAATTTACTGTGTTTTGTGCGTGTGGCTGTGTGGGTGTGTGGGTGTGTGGGTGGGAGTTAAGGCTCTTAGCTCTTGACATTGAGATTCTCGCTAATAGTCCTCTCAATCCCACTGTTCATGTCGCCCTGTCGTTGAATCTGTCTATGTTTTCATCTTGCATAACCTAATGAGTACGGTGCGGCAGCGCTTAGAGGCCAAAAGCGGCGGAAACAAATGGAATGGAATAGTACGGGAATCGCAGTGACACGTTGTGCAATCAGTTTTACATCCGCTTTGTGAGTGTGATTTTTTGTTCTGGCAGCGAAAGTGCTGACCTCGTCGCACCTTGACACACAACCCAGCCAACGAGGAATGGAATGCTATAAAAATGCGGGAATAGGAACAGCAACAGTCACAGCCATACGAATAACCATCTAGCGAAAATATTGCTCTTGAAGTACTTACTAGGCGAGTGGAATAAGTCACGTATCTGGCAAGACAAATTGCTTCAAGTGTACTTTCACTCAGTCATTCAGTCACTCTCGGTCCTCCGTTCTAGTCCTCAGTCCTCGGCCCTCAGCCCTCAGTCCTCTTTTGTCTCTCCTTTCAGGCTAGTCAGTTATTCAGTTATTTTTATTGCGCATACGCCATGTGGTCCGCATGTGGAATAAAGATATGTACGAGTATTCCTTTTGCGGTCAGCTCCAAAATGGGGTCGGCAATGCAATGGGCCCTAGATTATTGTCGCTCTTGTCGCTCTTGTCGCCTTCGGTCGCGTGCCACAAATCATATTTGGCTAGCAGTTTTTGTCGCTGAGGAGATCAGCATTCTAAATTATGTTTGAATGGTTTTCGTGTGTGTTATGTGCGAGTATGTGATGGATTTACTCTGGACTTAGTTCAGACAGTTTCATGTTGATGGTTACATGTGGCAAATCTTATTCCTGTCTTCCTCTCCGCTCCAAAGACCATAAAATTTGTTTAGAAATCCCAGAAATTCCTGCCGCATAGCTGCACAGCCCTCAGTGTGCAGCTGCATTGGCATCGGCATCGGCATCGGCCAAAGCCAAAGCCATGACCAGATAAACGGCCATGTTCCAGGCTCTATCACCTTCAGCCCCTTCAGTGCGGGTGCGGTTGTGTTAGAAAACTTTTCTTCAGCGCTCTGTTTTGCAGGTTGGCAGATGTTTCTGGCTGCCATGCCACATACTCGTAATTGGCTTTTGTTTGTCGGCCATTCGGAGGAGGAACAACATGAACAGCATTATGGAGACACGTTTAAGCATGTCAATGCCAGATGTTGGCTGACAAAATGATGAACAATCCAAACACAAAAGACAAGCACAACCACAACAACAGCTCCAGCAGCAGCACCAACACCAACACCAACACCAAACGGCAATTTCATTTAACAAGTTTATGAGCTCTTCCAGGCGACAATGAAAGTCTCATGCATTTAGATTTTGAGTGCGTCGCAGTGCTGCTGCTTCCCACAGACCTACAGTCCTACAGCCCTACAGCCCTACAGCCCTACAGTCTGCCTACTGCCTACTGCCACCGCCACCGACACTGCCTGGCCTCCGTTGCACACTCATTTGCCTGCGAGTGGAGGTGGGAGAACCTACAATAAGGTTCAATGGAGCTGCTTCCCCCATCTCCAGGCGCGCGTGCCTCTTGTCAACGTGCGAAAATCTCTCGAAAAACACAAGCAAATTTTATTTGCTGCCAAAAATGTTGACGCTGGAACCAAAGCTGGAGATTTTCCCCATTTTCCGACTGCTTTTATGGTGCCTAACGGCACCAGTCACACCAGCAGCACCCTCACCCTTAACCACATGACAGTTGGCATTTGGCGGGCCTGAGCCTTGTAATGAGGTTGGGCAGGACTGCCAGGAGGCGTTGGCGCATAAACAGGACTACGAACAAGGCCGGGTCTTCGGAGCATTTACAGTTTTTACAAGCTGCTAATGTGGGCGTGGCTGTTGTGGCTCTGTTCCGGGTGTAGGGAACGGGATTTGCATTCGGTTTGTGGATTTGGCAGGACCCTGAAGTCCCATTATGTTTGGGCTTTGCAACGAGTCCACAATCTATTATCGACCCTATGGAAGCGAGTACCGTTGCCGTGGGGTGAAATGTGTGTGTAGTTACCTGTCCTGGCCCATTTCACTTTCTAATACCTCAAAGCTTTCGATTAACCTAAACGGTATTTGTTGGCTTTTGAGTCTGCTTCTCTTGTATCCGTTTAAGCCTATTTCCTACGCCATCAACTTGTGTACACATGTAGTTTATACATATATGTAGAACCGCATCTCTGACGATAAACTTTTGCGGTGACTGTACATAACAAATCGTTTCTTTCCCGCCTGGAGTTCCTAAATAATTAATCACTTTAAAATGCAAATATTTGGACCGCAGGCTTTAACAGCTCCAACTAAGTTAAATGCCACAACCAGCTGCTTTTTTCTGCCCCCGGCCGCTTTCGTGCAGGCCCCCGTAGCGTCCCCCACGTGAACCAGGTTTCAATCAATCAAATTCCACGATAGAAATCATCTGCAGCAGGCATCAGACAACACAGACAGCCGGCAAAAAGGGATAAGGGAGGCAGCCTCTGAGTAACCCCCTTAACGCAAAAGAGCGAGTGGCATAATAAGCACATGTGCTCCAACATTTTGTGCCCCAGACGGCAGAAGGGAGCCATCCGCAGGGAGTGGAGGCGGACGCCTAACAAGCTGCGTCAACAAACTAAACCACTTTGAAATTAACACGTTACATTGACATTGACAGCTTTATGCGTGGCATGCCAAGTGTCGCGGTAAGTAGGACTGGAACTGGAGCCGGGAGCCAGGAGCCGGTAGCCTGGATCCTGGAGCCTACAGAGAAGCAGCCAGATCCAGCTGGAACGGGATGATGGGTTGGGATGGGATGGGTTGGGATGGGAGCATGGCAAGCTGTCACTTACTAAAGTATCGCTTGATGCTGCGTGCAGAAATCGCACAAAAACGGAAGTCGCGCAAAAAAGGCAATTTCCGTTGTGTGGTCTAAGCAACAGAGGATATGGCAAACGGGGATGGGAGGAGATGGGATGGTGCTGGCGCTGGTGCTGGTGCTGGTGCTGGGGAGGTGCCATCCACCACTGGCACTGGCACTGAAATTACCAATTCAAATGTCAGGCTATGGTATAACACTTCATGCGGAATTAAATTCAGTGTCAATTGGTCTCTCCCGCCGCCTAACGAGAGACTTGCGTGGCTGCTGCCGTGGCTGCCATTGCTGCCACTGCTGCTCCTTGGATCCGAATCTGTTTCTAAGTTGCCTTAACCCATTAGTTACCCGCCAAGGTTAAGGAAACGAAAACGAAAACCCTTAAGAACCCTTCGAGTCTGCAGCCCGTTTAATTCCGTTCCGACATTTCCTTCTGCCAGCCAGACCAAAACAATTTTTCAACTTTTTTCGCTTTCTCCTTTTTTTTTTTTTGATTATTTTTTGTTTGGTTTTTTTTTTAGAATTTTTGTACGACCGAAAACTGACCCTACAGAATTTATGTTTGGATGGGTTTTCCCCGAGTGAGAGCAAAATTAGTTAGAGGCTTGGGGCCCGGAAAGTGCAAGTACAGCAAAAGCAAACTGTGCGGAAATATTTAAGGACTGAAGTGCTTTCGGGGCTACGTTTTCTAATGGATTGCCAGAGTTTATTGGTATAATTGGAGGCGTCGCCCATAACGTACAACCGACACAATCTAGCCTATGGTATGGTATTGTATAATGGAATCAATTAGATTAGTTCATAGTGGGGGCTGTGTTCTTGACGGGACGGGTAGCTATCGTCCGGCTCTATCAATCTTACAATCTTTATAGTTGCAATGTGACTTTCTCGCATGCTTTTCTTATCAGTTGTAAAAGTTCATTTCAGTTTATAGCTGGAACTCAAAGTCATTGGTGGTTATGAAACCATTACGAAATGTATCGAAAGTGGTTGAAGGATCTCGAGCATAGCGGAGCATTCGGAGTGCTCTCGCCCTTCGTGGACACGTCCCAAGCAATGTTCAGTCATGCCTTTGTGACCCTTTCGATAGGTTTTTCATGGCATTTTTATGCTCTGTTCACCCACACTCTATTAAGAATTATTTTGTCCGAAATGCCTTCTTTTGTGGATATTCAACGATTTGATTGCTATTTGATTCTCATTCCGTTCGCT